TGAATATTGTGTGCAGTTTTGGACATCTCGATTAAGAAAGATATTCAGCTCTTAGAGGGTGTCCAATGGAGGGCAACGAAGATGGTGAAGGGCCTTGAGGGGAAGCCGTAGGAGGAGTGACTGAGGTCACTTGGTCTGTTCAGCCTGGAGGTGACTGAGGGGGGACCTCATTGCAGTCTACAACTTCCTTGTGAGGGGAAGAGGAGGGGCAGCCACTGATCTCTTCTCTGTGGTGACCAGTGACAGGACCCAAGAGAACGGCCTGAAGTTGTGTTAGGGGAGGTTTAGGCTGGATATTAGAAAAATGTTCTTCATCCAGAGGGTGGTTGGGCACTGGAACAGGCTCCCCAGGGAAGTGGTCACAGCACCAAGCCTGACAGAGTTCAAGAAGCATTTGGATGATACTCTCAGGCACATGGTGTGACTCCTGGGACTGTCTTGTGCAGGGCTAAGGGTTGGACTCGATGATCCTTGTGGGTCCCTTCCAACTCAGCAGATTCTGTGATTCTGTGAATGTTTAATTTGCTTTACAAATATGTCTTGAATTTGTGGTTGTTGGGGCTTTGGTTTTTTTGTTGGTTGGTTTGGGATTTTTTGGTACCCTACAAGAGAGTGTTCTTCAGCTGTTGGCACTTTTGGATAAAACTGAAAAACAGGATGATGTTCTAAAAGCACTAAAGCACATGTGTGACTTCTTTTTTCAGTGTTTTGTTTTCATAGTCTAAATTTGTCTTTTCTTTATTGTTTCAATAGTTTAATGGTTCCTCAGTAGCTCTTATAAAGTCAAGTCATACGAAGTATCTTAAAAGAGAAAATTATTTTGTAAGAATCACTGAGTTCTTTCAGAAGAATTCTTCCGAAGCTTTTATTCCATTTTATAACTGGAGAAACCAGGGCTAGCACTTGTAACTTACCTCAGGCTTTGGAAAGCTCAAGTGTCAGAAAGAAGAGCAGTGGTGAGCAGGCTGCCCTGGCTTCTGAAACTAGCTTGGTGCGTCTGTGCCTCAAAGCTTTTTTTAACCCTTCTGCCTGACAGTAGGGAAAAAGGGGAGCTTGAAGGCTGGAGATTAACTAGTGGTCTATTCAATGAATAACTGGGTTTCTAAATAGTGATAGACAGTAGTTTTCTTGTGTGTTAAGACTGAGAGCTTATTAGACCTGGAGGTACTGAAGAGTTGGATAGTTTGTTTGGTTTTTGGTTTTTTTTTGTTTGGTGGTTCGTTTGGTGTTTGTTTTGGTTTGGTTTTTTATTTTTTATTTTAATGTTGGCTTTTTTTTTTTTTGATTAGAGGTGGTCTGGGGTGTGTGAGATGGGCACGGATGGTCTTCTGTCAAACCCTGACTTCTTGATTGCTTGCTGGTTTGGTGTGGTATTCTTTTAAGACAGTATTTTAACTGTTCTTATGCTAAGAAAATAGCAGGAGAAAGACATGAGACTCCTATAAAATATATCTTGATGATCATACAGTGGGTGTTCCATGGAGTGAGAGGAAAAATCTGTATATTATGATTGAGCAATGTCTTGAGTGTTTCTGTTTGTAGGCTTTTCGGAGGCAATTTCTCTATGTTTCTTTTGCCCCTTCTGCAACAGTATATGATCCTATATTGAATTGGCTTGATTTTCTATCATGTATCCTGACATACCCAATGATACAAGATGACTTTCAGTTACACCAGGTGGGGTTTTTTTCCCTTCAAAATATATAGTCCTAGTCACCACAGCCTGCCAGCTCTTGCAGAAGGTACAAATTTTCTTGTCTTCACAAGGTTTTTCTTTTCTGTTAACTAGCTGACTTGCACTGAATATTGCCTTTTGTCCTCCTTCCTCCCTATGAATCACAAGTCACAGAATCAGCTGGGTTGGAAAAGACCTCTGAGATCAAGTCCAACCTATGACCGAACACAACCATGGCACTAAATACCACATCCAGTCTTTCCTTTCATGTGCTGTTTGGATAGTTTACTGGGACTGAAACAGTCTTATCAATGAAAGAAGATTGCAAATCTAGAGTTCAGGCATTGGAAATTATCAGATTAACCATAGTAGACAGCATGTAGGTATCATGGTGACTGACTTCAACATGCTTTTCATTTCATAAATAGAGATATCCAGTGTTAATACCTGATGGTAAAGCAGAAACATCACTCAACATGTTGTTATAAATATTTACATTTCCCACATCATGATATAATTGTCCTAATAGTCCTTGTTCAAACTGCTGTTTAAGACTGTTGCATATCAGATGATATTTTTTGCAGGTAATTATATTTATAAAATCCAGTGGATGAAAGCGAATGTGTTTAAGTGTAGTGGTTTATCTGCAAACCTGAGTTTGTAGGTGTGGTAAAAAGGAAAACCTGAAAATTATCCAGTGCACTCAAGATAAGCAGTTGCTCTCATTCCATCTCTTGAGAGAGTCTCACCACATCGGTAAGAGCTCAGCTGTGATTGTATTAGTACACAGTATGACTAAATGGTTAGAGGGGAAAAAAAAACTATAATAGGGGTTATGTAAGCAAATTGTTGCTTTTGGGGTTTTCTTTTTTTAAAGAATTTAACAGCCTCGTTACTAAATTATGCGCCTCCTTGTTCCCTCAAGGGAACGTTGCTTTCATCTGAGTTTTCATATAGAAGCTGCCAAGCAGCTGAGACAAGGCTGAAATAAGCAAAGCTTTCCCCCTAGGAATACCTTGGGAATTTCTTTTCCTGCCCTAAACCAGTGGATTTTGGGGAGGGGTGGTGTGCACAATCTCTTTTTATGCAGTGTTGGTGCCTTTAATGCATGTTTTAATAGTGTTACTAGGAATGTTTTTCACACACACAAAAATAAAGACCCTGAGTACCTAAAGTTATACGGTATCTTGTATTATAATAGGTGTCTTTTATTTGTGATAGGTTGCATTTTATTAGGCATTTGGAAACATGTTGTGGACTGGCACAGTTTTTAGCCACGGGGGCCTTGAAATAAAATCTTGCTGCATAAGCTGAATGTCCTGTTGATAGTTTTTCTCTGTCACATCTGCATTAGTAAGTCAACAGGAAGAAATATGTACCTCAATTGCCTGTGAGTCATTGCCCAAATCCATCTTCACCAGTCTCTGAAGCATTGAACTTGATCGTTACTACATTTTATACTCAGAGCAAGTCACTCGTATGGGTGCAGGGGATGCTGCAAGGACCAAGAAAGTCATTCTCAGTCTTGTAGCTGTTCTGCATGACTCTGTTGATAATAGGGAAATGGAGATGCTGAAACAGTCATTGTACCTGTAAGCTGGGAAGCCCCTCCAGTCAGGTGTAATTTTGTGTGTCACATACTTATATGTTTTAAAATGCCTGTTTAAGATGTTTAGCAATTAAAGGTAATTAAACATAATATTTAAAAAGGTAGTAATCCTCTCATAATGATTTAAAACAGTGAAACAGGGCGGAGCAATATTTAACTAAGCTATCATAGAAGTAATGTTTTCTGTTATTTTAGTTCTATTTGCAACAGACTTGGTATGTATGAAAAGTATTGATGGGACTAACTGCTGTCCTCTTTTTGTGGCTATATGTGTACTGTTATGTAGTATTTGTTGGAGGCATTAGGTGGATGGGGTTTGAGGAATGAAGCTGTTTCTCTTTATGGGATAAAGTGCTAGCCTGTATAAATGCCAGAAGGCTAACTGCTGAGCTAAAGAACAGCTTGTGTTAGAGCCTTTTTCCTTACCCTTTTTTTTTTTTTTTTTGGCCACACCCTTTAGTACAAAGCTTCTCTAACTGTAGACAAATGTCATTGTATACAGCTTCCGTGTATGTCCAGAGAGTCCAAGGTGTAGCCAAGGGGCAGGATGTAGCTGGGAGGAAATACATACTAGAGATGGGTTCTGGGCTCGGTTCAGAAATAGTGTCCTCCTGCAAAAGACTTTTGGTTTGGTTTAGTGTGTTTAGTTTAGGGTGTTTAGTGCCTGTGCTGGAGAAGAAGGAAGAATAGTGCAGCTGAGCCTTCAGGTGGTGCTGTGTTCTTCTCCATCCACTGTGTTCCTGGCTTATGAGCCTGAGATGTGTGAAAACAGAGCTGTCCTGCCAGCTGAGCATGATCCAGGACTCCTGCATGAAGAGCATCCCAGGCCACTGATACATACCATATTGACGTAATAAACTCTGACCCTTCTTCAGAATTGTTACCTGTGTTGTTGAGGTGATCAATGCGTCTGTATCACCTCTCGTTTTCAATGAGCCGCTGACAGATTTGTCGACTAATGTCTGTGCCATCTTGTGGTGGCTGATTAGGTTACATCAATATTCTCTTAAAAACAAAACCCTGAAGTGAGGAAAAAGCATGCAATTTTAACATTATAGAGTGATTCTAGCTTGCAGTTTTTCTTTGGTAGCATTTTGAAATGGTGAGCACACATTGAATCAGAGAGGTGGAAGTGGATGAAGATTAAGGTGTCTCTCAGGTGAAACATCCAGCATGTTGCATAGTGGCATTTGGAGCCGTGAAGGATGGAACATGCAGATTGCAAAACTTGTGAGAAAGTGCTCTGTCACAAGTGGCTAAAGAAAATCCAGAATGCTAGCATCTGAGAGAAATCAGTTAAATAAAACCACCCAGGCTGTTTGGACTTTGCTCGTTTTGCGAAGTATATGTTAATGGTCAGTGCTGTAAAACTAATGGTGTGGTACAGAATATTCATTCCAAAAGAGATTTTGTTGTCCTATGTTGTCCATACAAGCTAGAAATTCTGATTTTGGAGTTTTCACACGTGAAAAAGAATGTTCCAACACGTACCTGTAATTGTGGGTGTATGCATTCCTAATGCAAAAGGTATGTACTGCATAGGCAAGTGATTAAGGGGGGGCGGTGGCACACATGACACCCAACATGCGTATATGGAAGAAGACTCATCCTCATTGTTTTAGGTTAGGCTAAAATTTCTAAACATGAATAAACAGAGCAGCTGAGCAAAAATCAGGTTCATGCCTGGAGCCTTCTAGGCTTCTTTTCATTCGGTGCTCATCTGCTTGTGCAAGCACAGCTCCATTCTCCCGCCGCCCTGAGAGGAGGAAGGAGCAGCCCCTGCTGCCGAGGTGCTTCCAGCTCTCTGCAAGCGTGCAGGAGACAGCGTTCCCAAGGCCGGCTTGCTGCAGCTGAGGAGACAGCACTCATAGACCCCCCCCCTTTGATTAGGATGTGTCAGTGTTGTCAGGGCAACTGTTAACAGCGGCGTATCATATTTTCTCCTCTTGTGTTGCGTGCTGAATATTTTAGCACGCTGGTTGCAGGGAAGAAGGTGCTGCAGCAAAGAACCTGGAGCAGTGGGCTAGGATCTGATTGAACAAGTTAAAACAGAGAAGAGCAGCATCCAAACCAATGTGCCTTTAATTAGGGCTTTCCTTCAAGGTGGGGAAAGACTGCAAGCCTTTTGGTGCCGACTGGATGTTGGTATTTGTCGGCTGTTTGCATACTGCTTATCCATAGGGGATCTGTTACAAGTGCTGAAATGAACAGACAGCGTTGCAGCTAGTAGCTAAGCAGGGGCTGGAGTTTCTTACTTTTTTTTTTTAATAAGCAAGAGGCAACAGCAGCATGCCTGGTTCAACTGCTGCCCTCCGACAAGAGAGGCTGAAGAAAAGTGCCAGGCCAAATCCCCCGGGCTTATTCACCATTGATGAAGAAGATGAGCAGCAAAAGAACGGGAATTCCAAAAGACTGAAAGGTACGTTGCAGTTCTGCAGTGTGATCAGGGCTGTGTATGGGATATGCTGCACAGCAGGCACAGCATTTTATTAGCTCTTCTGTGTGCTAGAGAGAGTCTGTAAGTGGCTGGTGCAGTTTGGCAATTCATGTTGGCACCCACAAAATCTCTGTGTATGATAGGTGTCTGTATTTAAATCCCCCGGCTTGTTATGCAATCAGCTTCCTTGGCTATGAAGAAAAAAGTACATTTTAGTTATTAACCCCACTTCTTCTGGTAGTGATAAGGATTCTGCATCAGAAATACATTGGTGAATTTCTGTATGTTTACTTTGATTACTGTTCACGCTCTGGACAAATAACTATTAAAAACAAGGTGATTGTATGCTTGGAGAGTACAGAATGTAATACCAACCTGTTTTAGAAGATAGCTTTGCCAAAGACAATGCAAAACTGGCTTTACTTCCATTTCTGTGCATGAGGGACAGTGAGCCTTTGGCAGAGTATAGAAAAATACACATTGTTCAAATATGCTGACTTTTGTAAGTCTGACGACAAACCAAAACAAATCAAAGAGAAAACACAAACCCTAACAAATTGTAACTGTTAAAGGAAAATATTTGTGGTGCTTAGGGTAGGTGAATGGTGGTGTCAGAGGGATCCTAATAGCCATTGATTTATAACAGGTCTGTTAAGCCCGTGTAGCGACTGTCTATCTTATATCATCTAATTACTGTTTCCCTCATGGATCCTGCAACTTACAATTGTGACTGGAATTTTTATTCTTTTTTTGTGATCAAGTGATTCTATTTATATGAACACTCTTTTTTGTGGTCTTATTGGGGAAGGGGGATGAATTGTATTAGTTGTTGTTTACAAAACAAATGCTAGTTTGTAGCCTCAAGACACTGTTTTAAATTTCAGATGTTACCATTCTACCATGTAACAAGAGAGGCTAGAAAGCATTTAAATAGCAAGTTTATACCATGTGTATTTATTAGAGCTGAATAATTTACAGCTAACTGATTTCTTTTCCTGAAGGAAGAAGGTAGCTTGGTAGCTTTTACAAACAAATTCAGAGCACAAGATTATTCTTTTTCTTCATTTTGCAGCTTGTACTTTTTTTTCCCTCGGAATGGATTTGAGCATCATGATAAAATATTTATTGCTAGCCATTGTTAATGTGCCTGTTGTGTCAGGGTCTTGTGTACATAGTTACCTGCTATTCTGTATATTTGAAACTGCCCATGTAAAATGGAGATACAAACTCTAGTGTGAGGTTATTGAGTTTTTAATGTTTTAAGAAGCATATTACTTTCCTTTGTCACCCACTGGATGACTTCCAGAGTCAACAGTCCATAAAGCTAAAAATCAATAATTTTCCTGGTTTTGTTCAATAGCACTGATAGTTTCCCAGGGTAAAAGTTCTTGTTGACTTAGCTTCTCTTTTCTACTTGTAGCAGTTATACAGATATGCTTATCCTTTGTCTCTTTTGTTTTAACCGAGATTTGATTTTCAATTATTCCTTTATTTCCTCTTGTTGCTGTGAAATGTAAGTAGATGAATGTGCATGGGAACACAGGCAGCAAACAAACAAATGCATGTGGTTTTAATAAAAATTTGGTGGCTTACCGTGGCTGATCCTAGTGAGAAATAATAAAAGAAACTGTACAAAATATTTTGGAAGTATATTCATTTGCTTTTCGTTTCATAAATACTTAAAATGGCTCATACTGTCTCTAGAACAGAACACCACTTACACACCGATATATGTGGATAAATAACTACATTTGTACATTTGAATGTGTTATTAGTCATTAGGTGGGTTAGAGCTGGAGTGCCTGGTAATGGAGAATGCATGTACTCAGCGTGGTGTTCTCCCTACCTGGTACCAAGTTAAGGTCACTCCAGTGCAGCTCTGACTGTGTGATGGACCCATATGAGGCTTTCTTGAGTCTTTAGTGTCTATTGTTCTGTTGCTACTTTACAGTGTTTGCTCTCAGTTCTTTACCTGTCCTGTTTACTCGGCAACCACCTGTAGCTGCTGAGAGGTTCCTCCCCCCCCCTTCTCTAGCACATTCTAAGTCAGTGTCATCTTTGTGGGAGGTGGGCTTTATGTCATCTTCGTCTGCAGTTTCTATTATCATGCTGGATCTGTCTTTGTACATCAGTTAAAAAGCCAAGAAGCCTTTAATGGATCCAAAGTAATAAAGAAGTTCCTTCCTCCATTAAGGGTATTTGAATGTCATCACAAGACTTAAAATAACCAATATTTTCATAGTCCAGGTCTTCTCAGAATACTTGAAGACTTGATTAGACTTTGTGTGAGAGTTGTTTTTGTCATCCGGGAAACAAATATTTATGTGGATCTTAAAGTGGCTGACATTTGTGAGGTTTTCTGTAAATTGATTTTGATATAGACCATTCCTTTTCTTGGTTTTGGCTGTCTGTATTATAATTGGAGAGGTCTGGTAGGCAATGAGTTTGTTCCTCCAGTGCAAGCAAATAATAACAATGTTAAGGATTTTTTTTTTTTCAGTCTGCAGATATTAAAAGCCTGCAGTGATCTTTGTAGCCATGTGTTCCTGATACTTCCTTTCCTTTGATGTGAATTGTATTCACTGCTTTTTCACCAAATATTTTAACTTCCTCTCCTCGACTTGTCTTTGGGACAAGGCCTGCATTTTTGTTATTTATCTTTATGGCACCCGCTATTGCGGGGTCTTGAGATCCAGTTGTTGTGTAGTAGAAGAATGCAAATAAAAATTACTTTGAATATCCCTTTTTACCTTCATTAACAGTCTCTGTTCTCCTTTCCCTTTAAAACATACAGGAATGAATTCTACTACATAGTACACTCTTCAAATACAATTTTTGCAGGTTTAGAGAAGGTTAATTTGCATTTGAATTAGTTTTTGGTTTAGTTACCAGCTTTCCAGCAGTTCTGCAACTGTATCCTCAAAGAAAACAGACAAAACAGGAAGAGAACCATGCACTTAACAGCTTCAATATTTTCTTAAAGCTTGTGTTGTAAAACAAATACTGTTTCTGTGACTGAACATAGTGTATGAAAATGGTTCTGTATGTAAATCACAAAGATAGGGCTGAGTAAATTAGTGTTTAATTACAGGTATCCATCCTCTCTGTGTGAACTTCAGCCTCAGCCATTCTTTGAATTCAGGCACAAAAAATTCAGTTTGCCTCATGATTTCTTTCCTCTGCTCCTGTTCATTTTGTGCACCTTGGATATAGTCTTAAAATTCAATTCTATGACATTTTTAGTTGATGCCTCCTCTCCTTCCTCTTAGGAGAAAGACCTTCTCAGATTGTTGATAATGTGTTTCTAAACCTGTCCTTTGAAGAGGCTAGAAAAGTAATACTCATGCTTCTGGATTATGGATTTGAATACTTAATAACTGAAATAGTTATGAGATTTATAACAAATCAGTGAAAAGTCTGAACTGACTTAACGATGGAATCCTTCACCTTCCTGTTTATTTAAAACTGATCAGGGGAGTGTACCTCTAATCTGTTGAGTGGGTATTGCTAATACAAAGCTAGACATTTATGCCCTAGTTTTCTGAATAGTAACACTGATTCTTTGTCATCTTGAAAACAAGAGAAGTACTTTTTTCAGTCTTTTGGTGAATGGCAGTGATGTCAGTGATCACCAGCAGGTTTTGCCACTGTTGCATGGATGGCAATGTTTGTGTGTACTGCTCATTTCAGATGTAGGGTTTATTCCTCCAGAGACTTGAGGGAGATTTCTTCTAACACAGCTGTTTATGTGCTTAGTCTCCATGTTCTGCACCTATTAGGGAAATATATATTTCTTTTTAAACTCAGATTTTCCAGCTTTTAGTTCAGTTGTTGTTTTGTTGCTGTGTGTCTATACCCAAATGCAAGCTTAAGATACCTGAGAGAAAAGGGAACTTGGCATCTTCAAGGGCATTAAACCGATAGTCCTGGAAACTGAAACTGGATACTTACAAAACAGGTATTGCATGGGGTGTGGAAGTGTAATTTTATCCCACACTGCAGAGTCTGTGCTTCAGGCGGGATCCAGAATGACAGCTTGCTCTCTGGCTTCCACCACACTTTAAACCAGCAAAACTGCCTAGGATGGTGGTTGTCTCAATTATGCCTCTTGATGCTAGTCAGTAGGCTGACCTCCAGTTTGTTTGGGGCAGAACAGTGAGCAATTGTCAAAGGCTGATGAACTGGCTCACCAAAATCAAGTACTGGAGGTTTTCATGACAGTTGGTAGCCTTATCTTGCCCATCTGCATTTGAGGCAAAGTGAGGAGAAAGAGTAGGTGGAAGGAAGGAAAGGTACCAATTCCCATTACAGTGCTGGTTGTGTAAAGGGGCAGGGCTGAGAACCTGGGCATTGTGATTTGTCATCCTGCACCTTCCAGTGAGCTCTTCTAGTGTTTCTCTGCACTTCCTCTTTCTTTCTGCTAGCCAAGGCCAGGAGAAGAGGGGGTGTAAAAGTATCTGTGACTTTTCTGGACATTTGTTTAAAAGCGACTCTCAAAGTATCTGGAAGGTACATTCCTAGAAAAGCCCTGTATTCATTGCCTGCTTTGCAGCTCTTGGGGTAAAGAAGGAAGTTGTGTTGTTTTCAGGAAACTACTGCAAAGCTGTCTCATTTATAGAGTTTCTCCATTCATAGCTGTAGGTGCTAGGTAGCAGGAAACATCCCATTTGTAATAATGACACAAAGAGATCCTAATATTAAGTAATTTACTAGCACTACAGCAAAGAGACTATGCTGAAAGTCTGGGGGATGGCACGGAATATATCTGCAGACCAGTGGAGCAAATCTGATTTGTTCAGTCCCTCTGGCTTTCAAAGTGAAAGTCCCAGGTCTGAGGACTTGGCCTGTGTTGTAACACAGTCTGTTCATCAAAGTGTGCGCTGGGATTACTGACAGCGCTTATCTGTGCTGGGTAAGAATCATCTTACACTTCTAGTTTAGTTATATGAGGAGAGGCTTCCACTGATGATTCTGGAGGATAG